CCATATTCTCACAGCTTTCGCTCCTAAAATTCGGGTGCTTTCAAAGTTGCGATAGATTAACTTGACTGCCGAGGTGATTTGCACGGATACCCCTCCTTCAGTAATCAAAGTGAACTTAAGTGACGTTATACGAACGTATCTGGTACAAACGCGATAAAATAATGTGGTTTCAGTTCATTATTTTGTACATGTTCTGTGCTTATATTGTGAAACTTTGGTTCTGAAGTTCCGTACCGTGCATTTCTTTGACCCAGAATCTTGTTTCGACACCCAAGTTGAGTTGGGTATCATATTGCACAACGCCGGAGCATCATGTCGACACATGTATTTCCGTTTTGGTAATTGATCTACTCCAAAATATGGGGTTAGCCTACAGAAGCTGTGTTGGCTGCAGTGTAGCCAAGGTAACAAATGCACCATTTACAATGAAAATATGTTGTTAATGGTTAATGAGGTTTCCAGACGTAGCATTGTGTGTGATGTGCTAACGCCGTACAAATGATTGTACCTTCAGATACAATTTATTCTGTGTACGTGTGTTGGATTTAGCAGAAAGGCATCTTGAAGCAGTTCGTGACTGGCCTCCGTCCGTTGCAAAGAAAATGGATGGTGGTCTTCTAGGGAGTTGAATAATTCCATGAACTCTGTAACTGCCGACTCAGGACTGCTCACCCTCCAGTCGATTGGTCAAGCTATTGCGGTCTCATCTACCAGGCTATTTAACCGGTGACTTTCTTGACAGATTGCTGATCCGGAAACAACACATTTGGGCCGGATCACTGTAGCGGTGCAGAACACTGCCAATCATTCCGCTGCTGACACAAGGATGTTAAGGATGGATGTGAACTAGACTGAGTACACAAGAACGGAATACAGCCTGAGATAGGTAGAGGCTGTTCTGTGCCATGTTGAGTTTGTTAGATGGTGCCACATAATGTAGGGCACTCGAAAAGCATTTGAACTGAAACTGACCATTGTGCGTTGCTGATCCGCTCCAATCTTCTCCTCCGATCCTAGTTAGAGGGGAAAATAGCTAGTTATGGTCCTTTCCTGATCCCACTTACATGCCTGTCTACCAGGGTGGGTGAACCAAAAACCTGCATGTATTTTGAAAATGCACAGTTTGAACATAGATACCATCATTACCAAGTTTCCCTATTTCATTAATATTTTATGCTTAGTTCTGCAAGCTCAGACTTCCAGAATGCAGAATTGAATATTATCAAATATCAGAACACCGGTGAGCTTAGTTTCAGTCATCATACTGGTTCGTTACCTAGTTTCCCAATCAAATACCACAAAAGCTCTTTCGGTGCTGTGTCAGACCCAGCATAACCTACTGTAGGATCACTGACTAAGCACTTTGTAACCGAGGTAAATACATAACGGAGGGAAGGTGAACAACCTTGTTGGCCACCGACTTCTGTGTAGACTGTTACCGAATACAAAGAAGGTGAATCACTCACCTTATTGTCAACGCCATTCGCATTCGCTCCGCTGCTTTTGGGTCAGGTTTTAAAGACCATATGCTCATCGTGGGGTACCTTAAGTTAAATCTTTTCCTCGGCATGGGCCACCGGGACGCTCACTAACCACACCACTGTGGATCTTTGTATCTCTCCCCTGACTCTCACTTTTCCTCTGTTTTCTTGTTGTTATGTGTTGTGGCACTCAGACAACTGTCTATTGGACAAGTTTATATATATATATATATATATATATATATATATATATATATATATATCGGCGGAATCCGGTTTCGGGTTTGTCTGTCAAACCGGGTGCCGGTGTCAAAGAAGGGAAATGAAAGCTTTTGGTATTTCAGCTGGAATGCAATCGGTTCGTAGTGAGTTGGGAGTTAGTCAGCTTAGTCGGGTAGTGCACTCAGCTTATGAACCAGCCCAAAGGAGAAAAAGAATATTGAGAACCAGCTTTTGTTCGGGCTGCAGTAAAAGACATCTAGGATGGTGAACAATTGGTGGGGAATTGAGTTAAATTCTTGGTGGAACACGAAGCGTGCATTAGTGAACGTACTTAGCATGGTACATCATCTCAACTAGACGTCAGTTGGACAAATGATCGCTAACCGACACTATGTCAAGCGGATATCTGATCAGAAGAGATATTGAGACTGCACAATACGAAACCACAACAAACCATTCAGATAAGCCCCTAGGTTCCAAGTGCACCGTCATCACCAATGGAATACTTGTGAATTCTGAAAGAACACACTTGACTGCAGAGTGATGTGAGCACGACGCGCCTCTGGCAACAACACGTGATTGAGTCGATGAGGTCCGCAAGTTTGAATCGCAATGAGGAATCTTTGTATAGCTGAAGTGAGCACAGATGAGTGGTGGTTTGACACTTAGGCTGAAGGCGGGGCGCTAAACGAGGGCAAAAATATGCAGTAATCGTAAAGTCGCAGGGCTCTGCTTGTAACAGATCGTGAAGAAATGGATATAAAATGGAGTCAAAGCGCCAAACAGAAACCATGTTGGGGCGACACAATCCACTCTGGTATGCCCTGCGTACCTACAAAGACTAAAACTGTTGCCGCAGGACTACCAGCCTTTTAATGACCCCTTGACCCTTCATAGCGTGAAACTCGAGGTAGTTGATCACTTCACTTACCTTGGCAGTTGCATCAGCAATGATGGGCACGTAGCAGCTGAAGTCAGTTCATGTATTGCAAAAGCCAGAGCTGCCTACTTGAATCTGCGACATGTTTGGCGACAGAGAAGTGTCCTCTCTGTCTGAAAGGCCGTGTTTATATACCACAGTGAGGAACTTCCTGCCCTGTGGGCGTTAGACTTAACGCCCCCGGTCTCAGGATCTGGGACGCCTTCAAATCTTTGAACATTGTTGTCCACGAAGCAATACTAGTGTCGGATGGCTGCAGCATGTCCGAAAAGATGATGTGTGTAGGCGCGTGTTAGGCAGTGATTATCGTGCCACTTCCTGATACTAACTGATTATACTAAATAAGCTGGGCTAGGTTTGGTACGTACTACTTGTGTCTGGTCACCACATATCGATAAGAACCTTGTTTTTTTTGCCAGATATAGATTGGCGAGTGGTCTGAGGTGGGCAAAAATTAAATTGGCGGCGCATCTTGCCTTGCAGGCTGGAATCCACGTGGCGTGCCTTGTATTTCGTTCCAGACTTTACAGGACATAGCTCGCAGCCGACACCAGTGGCGCGTCTGCTGCCATCTCCTAGTCGAATTGCCCATTTAAAGTGCTTTTGCTGCTGAGTTATCTGCTGGGTAATGGCTTATAATGATGCGGGAGAGTGAACGCCGCCAGGAAGCTGTGTCGCTTATGCGGTCTTATCTTTGCACGATTGCCAGCTGTTTGTGAAGTTGTTGACCAGGTGTAGGCTTCTGGACCATAAATGTTTACATATAACATTAAAGTTTTCCAGTATGTCCCCCTTCTCTCCCTTTCATTATTGTTCGTTCCGTAGGTCATATATATATATATATGTTTAACTGAAAAAGATTGTAATTTGTTGTAGCCCGCCCGGGAAACAATCCATTTCACGCTATCCAAGCGTGGCAATTCTGACAGAACCACCATCTCACCGCGCCCGATATTGCGCAACGCAGGACAACGAAGAGCTTCAAATGTTTGTACAGCTTGCATAACCAACCAGGCTGAAAAAAGCTATTTGTGTAAGGCATGCGTTATAGAAATCTGCGGGGCGATCTCACAATGGTGTTTCAGATCCTACAAAACACAACCGCACTTGCCATTACCTGAAGCTTAGCCAACACACCGCTGAGAGGTCATTAGTTTAACTTTGCCAATCAATACAGCCGACAGGAATGGCGACGAAACGTTTTCGTCCTCCGAACGTCAGTCTTGGAACTTCTTAACACCTATACTTGATGCCCCTACTTTAACCCTACTCAAATCGCTGTGACGACGCCCTGATCTAGTTAGACTCGATGATATAATCCATGGCCATCATGTGATGGCACTAGCGCAGCAAATACAGTGGACAGGGTCAAAATTCTCGCAAGCTTCAGGCAAGCATACTCACACATGTGCGACTCCAAATCTCTTGGTGAGTCATGTATCACGCGCATTCTTTTACCGACACTGTTGCTGTGTTGTATTTTTCACCCGGACCATTTTACGGGACTTGTCAAGCAAATGCTTTTATACTCATCACAAACCACTGATCTATTGTTCCATGACAAGATTCAAATGTAATTAATCCCAACAGTGGCGGACGTGTATCCCTGGGTGTTGTAGTGATTCCCTTTCCCTTCCTTACTAAAGCAAACTGACAAAATATTTATAACTTGACAAAATGGCTTCCTGTTATTTTATTTTCTTATTCTCATTCTGTTTCCATATTCTGCCATGATTCCGATAGCCCAATGTATGTACCACAGATTATGGGCAAATACTTCATAATAACAATCTCACTAGCTGTGGTATTTGGCACTTCAACCCGCGAGCTTTGAAGTATCATCAAAAACACATACCCACCAGCCACTGATTGCTGTGTAAAACACGATGTCGGTCTGACTCACTTGGTATGGCCCTAATAATCGAATTTACCCGTTTCATTTCAATTCGAATCACGGTTTATGTTGAGATTGCGCGTCGCAACTCAATCACGCAATGAGCACTTTAGAATGAATCCTCCTACAGCATAAGTCACGTGATGCGCAAACGCTTTTCCATTGGTTGAATCCGTCGAAATTTTGACCAATACTTCTTCCGACAATACTGCTTCTCATCTGCGTCCGAATGCTATGCGCATTCTCAGTCTTTCTATACGTAAGCATATTCAGGTTAACACAGTTGTATGTGAGTACGTGTCTGCGTTCGACGAATATTCCATCTTTACTATAATCGAGAGGGACTTCTACTTGGAATCGCCCACTCAGCACCTTGTGATGGTAGAGTGAGTTCGACTTACGTCAAAGCATGCTTTCTTTTTATGCGAAATACCCATTGATATTGCTGTGCATTTCCATTCAGGCCTCTAGAATTCAAAGACGTCTCAAGTTTTCTCGTCACGAACGAAAACTACTGGCCTACATCATAAAATATCGTGATCGATATGCTCAATTCACGAGGAATAACTCATTGGAGCCATTTCAGCGCGAATTACTGCTCTCCAATGAACCGCGACGCGAAATGCGGGACGTGTTGGGAGAGATGATGCGTTACTTAAACTACGACGCAGAACTGTTGTCCCGATGGCATAACTGGGAGCCACCGGTATTTCCTGTCACCTGGTCTCAGCTTCACACCAAATGGTCCATACCTCATCAGTCGATAAACGTTTATCTGTCGGTATTACGGCAACAGTGGGTGGACAGTTATTGCACTCTAAGCAGAGATCAGCTGTTATCGAGGGGGAACCTAACTGTAGTGAAGGAATTGGTCACCCGTGTACAACCGGAGCCGGTCCGCTGACAGTAGAACTATCATCCGACTTCGATGTTTTATCCTTACACCGTTTTACCCAAGTTTCAGTTTTATGCATACCAACGCTTTTGATGTTTCCTTTTTTAATACAGCTTCCGTGCATGCAATCTCTTATCTCATGTGTGACAGTTCTCTTTCAAAAAAGAGGTTACTGAAATTAACAGAGATTAGTTTATATCAGCACTCATTAACTGACGCTTTTGCGTTAAAACCATGGAACAATGGCTTGGAAATGCGTTAAGTAGCAAACGATTTACAAAACTAACAAATAAGTCTGCCAACAAATAACACGGGGCGGTGTAGTCACTGCCGAGTTTACATTTATACGTGGTACGGCGGTTAGAATAATACATCATCGAGCTGAGTTTTGGGTTCGGTAAACATAGGAGCAAAACTTGCAATTCATTTGGACCCTCAGTGACTCGGACACCAGTGAGGGATGAAAAGTACCGGCCGCATCCTAGCTGGCTATACGGTGTTGCTAACTTCAAATGATGGCCTTCCTGTGAGGTGTTGTGGTTGAGTTTCACTAGGTGTCGACACAAATGATTGGGGTAACAGGTAGATATTGGGTGTGGTCCACCGAAAACACCGATTTGTCCCACTCGTTTCGATGGTATTTAGTCTCGGTAGGTAAAGGTAGCAGGCCTCCAACACGGCACCATATGGATGTTAGTTGGGCTCCGTTCCTCTTGACCACTGGGTTGCGACGTGCAACCGATGTCACAAAGGTTAATGGCTGGTTGGATTGAAATTTTGAGGTGCACGTTGTGGGAATGAAATGCCACGCGCAATACAAAAGTGGTCCTGAGTTCAATACCTGCTATCTGTGCCTGGTGAAATCAACTAAGTTCAAACCGCACCGCGGTGTGCAGTGTTTTCGTTCGGGTAACACCCAAGAGCCATCAGTTTCATCAGCTACGGTCCAAGTGATCGATTTGACCAAGGTTCATTTCATTGGAAATCGTAGTCAACATTCAGGTTGGGTGTCGCAGGCCGTCAACACAACATGTACATCAAAATGGTGGTAATCAATGATTGGTCTACTTGAGTTGACGTATAAATATAAACTCACACCTTAAATGAATATGCTGTCTACTAGAAACTCCTAGGACCTTCATTCTTTGTTGGTAAATAAGAAAACTTGACTTTCTGACTCACTGAAACTGTTACCACAAATCTCCACTGAATAGGCCTATTGTTCGCAATCATCATCCTAAGTTGGTACAAAAGTCAAGCCAAGTATGTACTGATTCACTGAGCCTGCAAAACCTTTTGTATTGAGAGCGAAACTTAGCCGTAATACAAGCCTTTACAAAAACCGATTTATGATTTAAACTCCCCCGAATTCATGAATTCCTGGTCGGTTGCAAGTTTATTCCAAGAGACTGAAAAGCCATAACCTCCTTATCCGTTCTCCGTTGTGGGGTCTCAAATGCAGCCAGGTCGTGCTTCCACCAAAGGTGACAGATCAGAATAGCGTATTATAAATATGGCCTCACGCAAGCGTTGAATAGTTGCAAACAGACGGTAGGACCTAACAGACGAAAAGCCTTCTACAAGATGTTTAGGAATGCAGGTGGTTGGCGGCATCCGGTTTTAGATTTGCCTGTCACTGTGGTCAGCGACAGGACGCCTGCGCCTACAGGGGGACCATTGTTAGTAACAACTTCTGCAGCGAAGTGAAGTTATCTTGATACTTTGCTTCAATGCTTCGGAATTTTCAAGTGACTTGCAATAACACTGGCTCCACCTTAGGTGCCCATTGGCGATGTTCTTGCCACAGCTAGAATGACAAATAGTAATCAAGCATGCGTTTCGGAGGGTCATCCAGACGTAAGCACTACCGACCGAACGTCGAAAAACTGCAATATCCTGCGACGTTAGCCAAGTACCAGGGTTCTCTGTCAACACTACTTGCTTCATCCTCTGAGCGTGGTATCAATTCGCAATGGATGCGCATTAAAGACCCTTTAATTTCTGCCAGTACTGTTAGTTGTGGATTTGCTTGTCACCCTACGTAAAGCTGGATAACCATTGCCTCCTTGTCGCTGATGGACAGACACCGCTTGATCCCAGCCGAAACCAGCTGTAGCGAGGAACGCTGATCCCTGGATCGAGCGTTACGTAGGAGCTTACAGAGGGATCGGGAGACCTGGTGGTGTGAACATGCTAGATAGCTTGTACTTGCTACGCTCTGGTAATACCATTAAACTGTTCCACCTCATCCGAGTCACCGAAGTCTTCCGATTTGGAGTAACTAAAACAATCTGGAAAGATGATGGCTCCCAACTCACTAATCTTCAACGACTGTTGGAACGATGGACCGAACATTTTTGTTCGCAGTTTCTCTGGCCGCTAGCTCCAGGTGTTTCCTTTGTGTGCACACTAGTGAGAAGTGGACTATCCCAACTGCTCCTCCCTCTCACCAGGAAATCTGGCGGGAAATCTGCTGCCTGAAGCGTTACAAGGTGCTCGGCTCTGATGGCCCACCTCCTGCTTTAGTTAAAGGTGGGGTCTGTTCGCTGGTTCGAGAAATTACCGTTTTTTTCTCAGAAGTCTGGGCGAAAGAATAGGTTCCATCATTCTAAGGAGTCGATAGTGGTCCCTGTCTTCAAAAATGACGTGCGCACAAAAGTGTGGTTCCCGTCGTTTGCAAGATTCTGATGTCCATCATTCTTTGCAAACTAACCCCAACGCGAGAATCGCTACAGCGAGAACAGGCTGAGTTCCGCCCTGGTTGCTGCTGCATCAATCGCATTTTCACACTCCACCAGATTCTCGAGCTCCGCCATGTGTAACAAAAGCCAACGATTGTTGTGTTCCTGGATATCCATGCTGCCTTCGATTTTGTCAACTGGGCTACATTGTTGCAGTCTGTTGAGGAATGGAATTCCCGGGAACTTCGTTTCCATTCTGCGTGCTCTGTTAGGGCTCATGGCAAGCTTTCGCCTTCCTTTATTGTCAACAGCAGGATTCAACAAGAATGCCCTATGTCTCCATTCCTCTTCAACTTTGCCATTGAGAATGTCCCTAAAAATGCTCTAAAAGTCTTGTTGATCGCTGGCGTTGAGCTCCTCTCAGGTAGTCGGATGAGTGATTTGGATTACGCTGATGATATCATCTTGTTGGGTGACAGTATGCAAGCCGTTCTATTTACACTTAACCGCCTGACGATTGCAGCCTTGAAGTATGGTATGCACTTTTCATCGTTCAAGTGCAAAGCTCTTCTTCAAGACTGGCATACGCTCCTACCTGCACTCATCATCCACGGGGAAACGTTAGAAGTGGTACCTGGGAAACTGCATACCTGCTGGTATGGCTTTGAAAGCGAGATTTCAATGCGTAGCTCAAGAGTTTGTCACGTCTTCTCCAGACTGAAGCATTTATGACACCGCTATGACATCCGTCTCTCCATCAAACCTCAAGTTTATAGTACCACTGTCCACGATGTACTGTTATACGATTTTGAGACTTGCACTGCTAGTACCGAGGACCTACGTCGACTATCTGTCTTCGAGAACCGTTGCTTGCGGTCTATCGCCCGTGTGTGGTGGCTGAACCACGTAACCAACGCTAAAGCCAGGCAGCGTGGCTTGTGCGGATACAATCACTCGCTCGATGCGCTTGTATCGCTGTGCCAAATACGATGGCTCGGACACGTACTGCGTATGCCCGTTCAGCGTCTTCCGCGTCGTGCCTTGTTCGCGGTCGCTGGACAGGGCTGGAGGAGGCGGTTTGGTGGACAGTCTACAACTTGGAGAAGCAGGAAGAGGAGGCTGACAAAACAGTTTGCCACGCATGATTCCTCCCGACACCCTGGATGGGGCCAAGGATGTTGAGTGCAGTTAGTTGGAAACCTTGGAAGTTATGGCTCGAAATCTAACTCAGTGGCAGGCTTGTATCTCTGTTTGTTACGGTGATTCCCCTTCTCTACCCCAATGACAAACATCAAAAATCCCAAAACCGATGAGTGAAATAATGTACAAAACATTCTGTTTTTTTCTTTTAATCTAACCCTGTTTTTCTATTCCATCAAGGTCCCGATGGTGCAATAACTGTAGACAGATTTTGATCAATATATAAAAATAGCAAGCCTGAGAGCGCCACATCATCATCAACACCTTGTGTCCTCAAGAGAAACAACCTTTTAATAAATATCACAAAACTTAGCCACACTGAAGGACAACGCGAAAGTCGGCCTATGGATGCGATCGAACTGTGATTGAAAGAATTCCATGAACAATGATTTACGACGGGTAAAAGGGCGGGTGCTTGATAAGTCCCGTTGAATGGAACAGTGGTGTATTACGGGTAAAAAGAAGCCATGTTCAACAAGTTCCGTGGGATGGAGATAATTAAGAAAATGAAAATTCGCGGTAAAATAAACTGTGTTTTGGTGTATTCACCATAGACATATGTACAAGTACTAAGATGCTCGCGTGTTTTGAGTGTAAATCTATAAATCCCTTGGTTAGAATTTGGTAACACACCGTTTGGTTGCATTTTGTAGCCCTCTGGATAACACAAGTTACGACAGGTAATGCCAATGGGACGACGCTTCGTCAAGTCATTTTATAACATCATCAGGTTGAGATCAGCGACGAAATAATCTGGGAGGGAGTTCGACAACTGGCACATTCGGAGGAAGAAGAAATTTCTACGGCATTCCATCCGGTTAGACTGTATTGTCACTTACGAAAGATAACCTATTGGTTTGGTGTTGTGGTTCGGTTTCAGCAGCTGGCAGCAAAAGTAGTTTGGGTTCTTCCGAATGTGGTAAATCATTATGAGCCCCCATGCATACACCGAGTTTGATTGCCGTAATTTCCCATAGACTCTAATATACTTATTGATAGTTGGTCACAGTCCACTCTTAGTCAACAGGCTGGTAAGCTAGATGGAAAATGCCCCTCATGTTCTTGGTTGCAGTGATTTGAGCAGTCTCTATAGCAACGAGATCCTGTTTCTGCCACTGGTGTTACGCCTAGATGGCATATTCCACGTGCAGTCACATATAGGTGTTAAGCATTTATGGGAAGCTTGAGTAGGCACACCGACCGAATACTCTGCGAAGATGATCACAATGTTTATGCAGGTTCCCC